GACTATCATGATGATTGTGCTATTGACCTTGAAAAAATTTATGATCTTGCAAAATGACCAAATATCATTAGCGATGATTTGAAAATATTAATAGTGAAGAAAGTTCCTTGTCAAGTAAGGAATGTAATTTTTCCTAAAGATAACCACGGGAGGGCTTTTTCAGAGAATTATTACGTCAAAAGATTGCATAACGGTGAGTCTGTACTTCGTAATTGGCTGGTATATTCCACTGAAAAAGACGCAGTTTTTTGCTTCCACTGTAAACTTTTCGCTCAAAGTGGTAGCATGGCATCTTTAGTCAAAGATGGATTTCGCGATTGGCAGCATTTATCGAGACACGTCACGATCCATGAAAGCAGTGCATCACACATTCAGTGTTTCAAAAAAATTATAGAGTTGAAAACAAACTTATGTGAAAACCAAACTGTTGATGCTCATCATCAAAAGTTACTCGACCAAGAAAAGAAACGGTGGAATAGTGTCCTCGAAAGAATTGTTCTGTGTATTCAATTCTCGGCAAAACAAAACTTGGCTTTGAGAGGCGCAAGTTCAACTTTGTATAGTAAAAGCAATGGAAATTTCTTGCAACTTATTCAAACTATTGCCAAGTTTGATCCAATACTAGCTGAACACATTCGACGCGTACAAGATGATCAAAACTGTTTGCCTCATTATTTAGGCGGCAGTATCAAATCTAAAATTATCGAAATGATGAAGAATGCTAAATATTATTCAATAATATGTAACATGAAAATTTGCCTTTTCATGTTCCATAGTGTGAATTCTGCAGATAGGTGATAGGGAAGCTTTGTAGAGATGCACTGCGTAACTCAATGATTTCTTTTCTAGGTTTTGAGGTACTTTACATAATTCCATCTTGTTAAATGTTTTCATTTTCAATGTCCATGACTGGATGACAGTTAGGTTACTTCAGTCCACTGCTTAACAATTCTTACATATTTGTCAGATGCCCATGAATATTGTTGTTTACATCATGGTCTCTTGCCAGTAGAAGACTGTTTGTCGCGTTTAGTGGCAGTGGCCTGTAATGGTGCAGGGATATTTGCAATTATGTATCGACTATCGTATCGACTATCGTATCGACTATCGTATCGACTATCGTATCGACTATCGTATCGACTATCGTATCGACTATCGATGTCATGATCGATATTTAATATTTCTTTCAAGTTTCCCTGAATCTGACTTGAATCATATTATTTTGGTGGCTAGATTGACATTGCGCAGAGACGGAATTTGGTTTGTATTATTTTTTTTGAATAGATCACAAGTGCTCTGATTGACGGAAACTTGTTGTATGAGCAATTTCCGTTTATTCATCCTTCTTTTTGATTCCTTCTCTTGTGAAAAGGTTTCATGTGCTGAAGCCAAAATGAAGCTCTTTTTGATTTTGGCTCTCGTGCGATCAAGTCAGGTGGTAGACACCTACTTTTGTGTTAGGCCTTTCCGATAGGAAGGTAAGAAATATTAAATCTCTTTTTGGTGGATGATATTCGATGGGGTATCTACATTTCAGATATCACGGCCTTATACAGGGGAGCAGGGGGCACAGACTGAGTGGATGATTTGAACTCCATTTTCTTTTGACCACATGCTATGTTTCTGGACTTGAATTGAATTTTACCAATGAACACTGTTAACTGGATGGATCACTAAATATCGAATTTCATCAACTATGGGCATTTAGAAATCTTGAACTGTTTTCTGGACTTCACTGTTTGGACATCACATGGACACTTTTTTCGATGGTTGAGGCACCTGAGGGATCTTCGTGCTTTGAAGCCTGAGTCACCAACACACTTGAAGGTGGAAGCAAGACCCTGGTGATTCCTTGTGTATGTCTCTGGGCATCTATAGGACCCGACAGCCTGGAATTTCTGGCAGAATCCTTGCTGCCAACAGTGCAAGTACCTAGCAGCCCTACTGGTTTAGATAGCCAGTGATCCTGACTTCTGACAGAAGTCCAGGGGAGTCCAGACTCCCGGTATGGTTGATTGATCCTTAATCCCTAGGATTTTGTTACTTTGGAGCCTGAACTCCCAGAGCCCGGTCAGATAGTGAGACGTCCTGGTCCAGCTTGGATGGTAGGAAGAGCTTGCCCTGGTGGCAGCCTGTGGACCCGTCAGCCAGAGTTGCAGTGCAGAATCCAGTTGCCCTGGGATACACCAAGTGCCCAGGTCTCCAGGTGGTTGTGAATCCTGTCAACTGTGTGGGGATCCAGTTTTCCTAGCACACCTAACCCCTAACGCCGACTGAGGGAGGAGTGTCTTTGTTTCATCCAGGTAGTGAGATCTAGTGGACCACAGTTGGAATCTCATGGTTCAAAATCCAGAACTTGCAGCTAAGGTCAGAATTTTCCATATACATATTTTTTCCCTGTCTTGAGGACATTTCACTTATATATTTTTTCCCTGTCTTGAAGACATTTAACCTACATATTTTTTCACTGTCTGAGGACATTTAATCTACATATTTTTTTCCCTGTCTGAGGACATTTAAATAGTTATTTTTCACTGTCTAATGTCATGAGATATTTAAACATTTGTCAATAACACAACAGTCTAAAATCGGATTTTACATTTAATAGAATTATTGGGTCTGTTAGAGACTCTGTGAACCCAAAGTATAGGCCTATATGAAGGGAAAGCTACCCTTGTACTGAGTTATAATCATAGAACATATATTTACCACCATTTTGAATACCTATTGTTGGCATGTTAAGGTGAATAAATCAGTTAACAGTTATTTTGGCTTATATTTATATCTTGGATTTTTTTCTCAGTAATTCAGCTGTGAAAACTGAGTGGCGCCTGACAAAAGGATAACCCCACTAGTGAACAATAAAAAGAACTAACTCACGACCTGCTCCCAAACAAGCGAGCTGCCGTGCCTATAACAAATCAAAATCTCTTTCTTTTCCAAAACATCAAAAGAGTTGTTATAAATATTAGATTGTACACCGGATGCTGCTCACGAAGAACAAATCACTATAATATTTAGGTCAGTAATATTTAACGAAAGTACTCAAAAAGTTGAAGTCAGAGAGCATTTCTTGGGATTTTGTGAAATTCATGATACAAAAGGGGCAGGCCTGACTTTATTTTTGACGAATTTTCTCCAAGCTTGTGATATCGACATTATGAACATGCGTGGTCAGGGATATGAAAATGGCGCAAATATGAAAGGCAAACACAGTGGTTTGCAAAAACGAATATTGGATATTAATCCCAGAGCTTTCTTTATTCCTTGTTCGGCACATACTCTAAATTTAGTTGTTAATGATGCTTGTCAAATATCCTTTGAAACACTTGACTTTTTTGGCATCATCCAAGAACTATACAATTTTTTTCATCTAGTACTAAACGCTGGTCTGTTCTAAAAAGAAATGTTGAAAATTTTACTTTGAAACCATTGTCCGATACAAGATGGGAGAACCGTATTGAATCTTTAAAACCATTACGTTACGAAATATAGAATGTCGATGACGCTCTGTCAGAAATTTTTGATAGTGATGGAAGTAACAGTAATTTCGATCTGAAAACTAAACATCAAGCACAATGTATATCACAAAAAATTCGGAGCTACAAATTCTTATGCGCTCTTGTTATTTGGTACGACATTTTATCGAATGTCAATGTTGTCAGTAAGATTTTGCAAGGCGTTAATGTTAACTTACACGTTGCAGTAGAGCACTTAAGTAAACTGAAACAAATAATATCAACATTTCGAACAGATGAACATTTTACGGTAACCTTAAATGAAGCATCTGAGTTAGCCAAATGTCTTGGAATTGAAAATCAATTTCGTTTAGATAGCCAGGTGAGGAGAATAAAAAAGAAAAGACAATTTGATTATGAATGCGATGATGAGATGATCAGCAGTCCGGAAAATAGCTTCAAGACGAATTTTACTCTCGATCGCATCTTCCGAGGTAGGATCGGGCTGAGACTGAGAGTGAGATGAAGACCCTTCTCCATCGCGACTACTGCGAGGTCGAAAAAAATTTGAAATATCTGAAGTCAGACTTTTCAGGCGTTCCTGTTTTTCCAGACGTTCTTTTCTGTATTGGTAGCCTGATAATTTTTTTCTCTTTTCAGACATCTAAATGAAATAAGTGAAAATTAGTATCTTAGTAACGAAAAACATTTAATGTACCTATATGAGTATATTTTCACTCACCTTAGCAGCTCAGGCTATTTAAATTGATTATTGAATCCCCGAACTGTGAAATAGATAACTTTGCACCCGTGTATCACGTACCAGTACCGTCCTAGTGCGTATTATGAATGTATTTGACTCCAACTCCACGTTGATGATATTTCTACATTATGTACATATCCCCCCTTTAAATTTCCAAATCTTAATTTTTTCAGAATGACAGGACTCTAATTTCCTTTGAAAAATTGCACTATGAAAAATGCCGCCATACATTTGGCGGTGAGATAGGGATATGCTGTGGCAATAGTTCCAGATATAGAGTCGGCGAGTTCAAGTGTCGGCGACAGCTTTGAATTCACCGACATCGGACACATCGGTGATCGGACCAAACACAGTGGCGGGGCGGCATTGTAAATACAAGGCGACTGTGATATGGAATATGGAATATCACGGCGGCATTGTAATCGCCGCCGCCGCCCTTCTTACCTTGCCGCCCTGGTTCCTCGCACCACTCGCACCCCCGGGTAGGAACGGCCCTGCATAACCTTATGTAATTGTGTCTAAATTCCCAGAAGCGGTTACGATTTCACCCTTTCCAGGTATACCAACAATGCTAATTTGGGTTAAATGGTCTGTTTGTTAAAATAAATGGATATCCCATTATGAAATTGATGAAATTTTAAATGCCATTTGAATGGCATTCTAACTAAATGATGCAATTAACAAAAGGAGCTTTTAGTGGTTCATTATGAAATCGGCCCTTATCTGGTAGATCGAGACAATAATTCATTTTATTATTATTTTTTTAGAATTGAGCATGGATGAATGTGACTGCTTCAATCAATGCTAAGAGACCAAGCCACCAAGCAAGATCTCTGGAGCAACTCAAATCTAAATATGAGAATTTGAAAACAAAATTAAGAAAATGTGCGGCGAGTTATCAAAAACATTTGAAGGGAACAGGTGGTGGGCCATCAAACGAACCTGATTGGGATCCAGTAATTGAGGCTGTACTCAGAATAATCAATGAAAAACCAGTGATTGGATTTCAGAACTCGTTTGATTCAGATTACATTGATAATGCCAGTGATTTGATCAATGACATTGAAGTGGAAAATCATGATGTAACAGAAGAGGTTCTAATATATTATTTTGAACTGTTTTAGCAAAACTAACTGTTTTTTTTTTCAGTTCTATTTAGTCATGGATCCTGCTGAAGTAGAAAACCAAATTACTAACACAGTGGAAGATTTTGTAAGTAATTTTTCTTTGAGTTTAAGTCTATTGAAATAAAATAGCCCTAATAATCCTCAATTTGTAGTGAAAATATTTTACAAATGAAAATTTCCACTAAATTATTGTATTATTTGTAGGATACTGTTGAAGATATCATAACTGTACCAAAAATGCTAAATCAAAAGACAGATGTTGAGCTGATAAATAACCAGCATCAGGATGCTGAGTTGGAGGTAATTATCATTTAAACTACTCATGAATATTGAGAGTTAATACCTATTCTAATGGGAATGTATCTACTCTAATTATAATCAAATATTCACATAAGTTTTTCTATTTTCAGATATCTTCAAATTCAAATGATTGGTCCAAGTATACACCCAGGAAATTGAAAACGCCAATCAACAAAAAACTCCGACAAAAAACACCTATATCAAGTGCTTTACAGAATGCCAAACAAGAATATTATGTGAAAAGAACAGCTCTACTAGAAAAATAAATAAATCAAAAACAATTGGAGGAAGAATACCTCGAAAGAAAAAGAGATATGGAGAAAGAAGACAAGAAAAGTACAAAGGGATGAAGAAAAGAGTCAAATGGACAAAGGAAAACATGATATGAAAATGAACATATTACGTTGTGAATTGGAATTGAAAAAGAAGGAACTTAGTAGAAATTAGATTTTAACAAATAAAACTTCCATCTAAACATGTTTCAATTGTTTTATTTTTCAATTCAAGTTGAAAAAATAGAGATATTCATTATGAAACTAGATATTGTTTCATTTTGAATCTACAGTGATAAGTCAGGGTTTTAAAATTCTAGAGTATTCACTGAAAATTAAACTACTTAATCAATATGTGATGGTTTTTTATATAGGTACCCTATTTTCAATAACAGTAATATTTAGCTAATTTTGATAATCCTAATCTTGCAAAATGGTTTAAAATCAATAGTTGTCTGATATTTCTCACATTATTATCATCATGTTGTTGCTGTGGTATCAGATCAATATCATTTGCTTCCTCAATGAACCAGTCTTCTGGAATATCTTCATTCTCCTCGATTGCTAGGTTGTGTAAAACTGCAGTTGCAACAACTATACTGAATACAGTGTCCAGCTTGACTCTCATTCCTAATTTCAAAATTGGGAACCTGCGTTTCCACACACCATACTGTCTCTCAACAACGCATCGGGTTCTGATGATAGATTCTTTGAACAAGTTTTCAGCAGGTGTATGACTTTCTTGCAATTTTGTCATGAGATATGGCTTCAGATTATATCCACTATCTCCTAAAAGCATGAATCTACCAAATTCACCTTTCTCAAATCTCAGCTTCAGTCTTCTGTTGTTGAATATTGTTTGAACATGGCATGACCCTGGCCACCTAGCTACTATGTCTCGAATTTTCAGATCACTATCCGACACTGTTTAGACATTAATCCCAAAAAATCTAAAAATTTCAGCATCATCTCCTCCAGGTGAATCAATCTTTATCAAAGTGCAATCTATAGCACCTATGACACCAGGAAAACGGGCAATTTGGTAGAACTTTACAGCAGAATTTTCCATCTCCTCAATGTTTTCATACATTTTGATGTGCTCTCTATGTAATGAAGCAATTGCAACTCGTTTGATGATTCTACATGCTGATGGAGTTGAAACACCACTGAAATCTGCAACTGCTCTCTGCATACACCCTAATGCATAGAATCTCAGTGTCAGTAATACCTGAATCGATGGTTTGATACTTCCTCCCCTGTGAAAAAAAAATACTAAATAGAAATGTTTCTTTGTTTTTGTCTTCATCCACACTATGATGGATACACACTTACCTATTAGTTCATGTCTCTATCAAATGTTCAATCGCCCACTAGTAGTGAAATGAAAGTCGGTTTCGTAATCCTAAACCTAGTGAAGAATTCCAAATCATCCAAATTCTCAAAGTGGTCAAGCCTGTCTCTATATACTTTTCTACGTCTCACAAAAACGTAATCTTCATCAGAGTCACTTGATGAGCTTGACGATGACGGGTAATTCATTATTCACTCTAGAAATTCTACAAATTTAACAATATTCAACGAATCACTCAACATTAAAAAACCTGAGGTTAGAGGATCAGACACAGAATATAATTAAGTGAGGTTAAACTGCCTTTCAAGCAGTTTAAGTACAGAAAATTTGGCATTTAACCTAATAGCCATTTAAAAGCACTATTATGTTAAAATTGGTATTATGAAATCGATCTTCACCTCAAATGGTCAGTTGAAATTTGAAGAAGCTTTTAATTTCACTATGAAATCGGCCCTTATATCAGGTTTTGTCTTTGAATTCATGCATACCTTGTTCACGTGACCCTTTCGTTTACATTTTGTACAATGAAGGTTTTTCTGTTGACATTTATTGGCCAAATGCTTGCTAGACCCACATCTAAAACAAAAAAGAGAATGATCATTAGAATTGAAATCATTTTTATGGGCACTGGATCGTTGAACATTAGAACCATTTCCATGAGATTTTCTCCCAAACTGTTTCGCACTACCCAGACTGTGTACAGTTGCAGTATTTCCTCTGTGAAGTTGAGCAGCATCTCTCACTGATGTCTCCATTGCTGTAGCAACTTCTATGGCTCTATCAACTGTGAGGTCTTCAACTTCCAGCAATCTGCTTTATATATTTTGGTTGCGTAGTCCAAAAACAAAGTGGTTTCGAAGAGCTTTCTTCAAATAGTCACCAAACTTGCAAGTTGTAGCCAATCTCTGTAGAGTAGTGAGATATTCCTTGACGCTCTCTCCTTCATGTTGTCGTCTTTGTAAAAACCTGAATATCTCTGCAATTTCCAGAGGTTCTGGACTGTAATGTTGTATATGTAAATGTCATAACAATCTGGTCGCATAAATCCACATCTGCAATTATTGGGTTTCTCAAGAGACGCCACCTTTGAGCCAGAATACCAAAGGTTATCTCAATTATCCTCCTTGCTCGTGATAATCTCATGTTGAAAATGTTCTTTATGTCTCCAAGATATTTGCCTGGGTATGGCCTCATTATATTTCGATGAAGAGGGAATGCCTCATCTGCTTTGTCAAATCCGATTGATTAAAAATATAGGCATCATGATTGGCCCCCTCCCTTCCAATATCTACATGGGTAAATATGTAATAGGAATCACAGGCTGCCATGAGAACAATGCTGAAAAAATCATCAATCAGAATAAAACTGATTTCATTGCATGATCAATATTGATAATACCTGAATGACTTTTTATATGAGGAGAATGTTGAGCCGTACTTCTTAGGGCACTGAATAGAAATATTGTTTCCATCAATGGCCCCAATACAATTTGGCATATTCCAGCGTTTGTAGAATCCCTCTGCAATTTTGACAAAATCTTGTTTTGTTGGAGGTGTCAACACAATTGGTGCCAATTGTTCCCACAGTATTGAGCAGACTTCTTTGATAATGCAGTGGACAGTGGTTTTCCCAATGAAATGATTCCATGCAATCTCCTGCACTCTTCAGCTAGATAGCTATAAATACCAGATCAATAGTTAGATGGATGTATCATTACTTTCTACTACTACTAATTTTTGTGTACTTACTGCAAAGTAATAGCTAAACGTTGTCCTGCTTCTATGGGAAGTTTAGTAGGATCCCTTCTCATACATGGTTCAATCAACTCTAATAAATTGTCGAACATTTCAGGAGACATTCTCGTGTATTTAAAAAATTGTTCTTCATCATTATTTTTTGCAAAGGTCAACAAATTTTCATAAACACTATTCTTTTGGTTCCTCAAGTTCATGGGGCGAACTTTATACCGCCCTTTGCTCCAAAATAATCTATTCCAATTCACGACAACGACTGTCGTGGACGACAATATCAGAAACATTCCAATCATCATTAATGTATTATCATCTATCATTTTTGATACCAGAATAAAGACCGTGATGAAAAGTCAATTAAAAACACTATCGATTTGGAAACATTTTGGGGTTAAAGACTATTTGTGACATTTGTGTTTATTTCAAATGTAATTTCAGGCACATGGGAATTTTCCCTGTCCTGATAAAATGAAATTAAATGAAATAAAAGATGAAGTTGACCAACTTTTATTTTATTCCTTATTTCTTGGCAATGTTCCGTTTCCAAAGTTGGTTAACCAGTAGGTTCACGCAGATTGACCGGAAATGGCGGACGGTTGATGAAAAATCCGGTTGAAATACGGAACGCATGTATTTGTCATTTGTCAAACAACATATGATTCTCCAATTCCAATACGTTCAAATTGTTATTGACTGGAGATTAAATTCAATTCTGATTTATTTTTTATTATCTGGGAGAATGGAAGAACTTTATGTTAGAGAATTATTGTTCACTTCTTCCTCATATACCTCTTCTGATGATGAGGACCTATGGGTTAGTACATAAATTGAAGTATTTAAATTAAAAATACAGATTATAATGCATTTAAATTTTCAAAGTCATTAGACCTAGAATACGTGATTATATAGAAACAGTAGTTGATGATTATCCAGATTTGGAATTCAAAAATAACTTTCGAATGAATAGAGGCAGTTTCAACCAAGTTTTAAACCTGATAAAGGATGATATACAAAATGAAGAAATGGCCATAGGACATCATTCGATATCAGCCAGGGCTCAGTTACTATTGGTGCTTTTGTATTTTGCTACTCCTGATTTTTCTCTATATTTTATTGCAGTTCAATATGTGGGCGATTCAATATTGGAAAAGCAACTGGATTGAGAAGTGTGAAAAGAGTAGCAAATGCTTTATTTAAAAAATGTCCATTGATTATAAAATGGCCCAGTGGTGATGAATCTGATAGAGTTATACAAGGATTTGATGCAAAAGGTTTTCCTAATACAATAGGAGCCATTGATGGCACTCACATAAAAATTCCAAAACCTAAAACACACAGCATATCATATATTAACAGACATGGCTAAGCATATGAAATTATATTACAATATGCAATATGATATACAACTTTTCATTGCTTCTTTAGGTAACTCATTGTCAATTCTTTTCAGGGCGTATGTGATGATAAACTCAGGTTCATTGATTGCTATGTTGGAGAGGTAGGATCCTGCCATGATGCCAGAGTTTTGACAAGAAGTGAAATCTGGAACAAAATTAACGAACTGGTACATACAAGCTTCTCAAATAATAGTCATTTCATAGGAGATGAAGCTTATCCCTGTTTGCCACAACTGCAATGCCCTTATAAGGACAATGGCCATCTGACAGAGGCACAAAAAAATTTCAATAAGAGACTCTCATCAGCTCGATCAACGATTGAAAGATCTTTTGCATATTTAAAAGGAAGATTTCGGTGTTTGAAATACTTAGATGTGAGAAATTTGATATGGGCTCCAAAGTGCATCATGGCATGCTGTGTTTTGCACAACATCTGCATGAATAATGATGATATCATTGACAATGATATTTTGATACCAGATATCAACAGGAGGC